CTTCAAAGGTGGCAGAAAAAAGCAGCATCTGGCAGTTCCGGGGCAGCATCCTGCAAGGGAAGGCCCAGGTATCTGGCACCACCCTGCCGCTTTCCGTGGACAGAGCAGGTGCACAGCCTCCCCAGCCTGCGTGGTCTGGATCCCCTGAAAGGAGCATCTTGGGGAGGAGCAGCAGACCTGGGCGGGCACAGGGCTGGGTGAGAGTTCTTAGGTCTCCTCTTCTCACCCCAGGCTGGGAGGATGCATGGTCAGTGAGGACACGGAAACGGCCCAACAAAGCAATGCTGCTGAAAGCTCAAGAGTAGGAGCCCCACAGAAACAAGAAGGGGCATATTAACACATTAACTGCCATGTGAATTATGAACTTTTTTTTTTCCTTTGAGACAGTCTCACTATGTTGCCCTGGGTAGAGTGCTGTCATGTCACAGCTCACAGCAACCTCAAACTCTTGGGCTTAAGCGATTCTCTTGCCTCAACCTCCCAAGTAGCTGGGACTATAGGCAACTGCCACAATACCTGGCTATTTTTTGGTTATAATTGTCATTGTTTTTTGGCAGGCCTGGGCTAGGTTAGAACCCGCCAGCTTTGGTGTATATGGCTGGCACTGTAGCCACTGAGCTACAGGTGCAGAGCCAAGTTATTCTTCAAGTTTTAACATTACTTTCTAAATTACTAATATTTAAATTTTGGGGTATTTTGCAGTTTTTGGCTGGTGCCCTACTCCTTTGAGCCATAGGTGCCGCCCAACTAATGTTTAAGTTTTTATATTACTTTCTTTTTCGAAGACAAAGTCTCACTTTGTTTCGCTTGGTAGAGTGCTGTGGTATGATAGCTCACAGCAACCTAATACTCCTGGGCTCAACTGATTCTCTTGCGTCAGCCTCCTGATTAGCTGGGACTACAGGTACCCACCACAATGGCTGGTTATTTTTATAGGTGGGGTCTCACTCTGGCTCAGGCTGGTCTCAAACCCATGAGCACAGGCGATCCACCTGCCTCAGCCTCCCAGAGTGCTAGGATTACAGGCACGAGCCACCATGCCTGGCCACTGCACCCAGCCCTATATTAATTAAATTTTTTTGAGACAGACTCAAGCTGTTGTCCTGGCATCATAGCTCACAGCAACCTCCAACTTGTGGGCTCAAATGATCCTCTTGCCTCAGTTTTTTTCTAGTTTTAGTAGAGACAGGGGTCTCGCTTTTTGGCTAGGCTGGTGTCAAACTTGTGAGCTCAAGCTATCCAGCCACCTCAGCCTCCCAGAGTACTAGGATTATAGGCGTGAGCCACCGCACCTGGCCTCCTATATTACTTTTTTATTGAGGTATGTTTTATTCATTTTGTTTTCAACATTTTAATTCTATTTTCGTAATAAAACAGTGTGGCCCAAAAGAAAAATTTTCTAGGCCAGGTGCGGTGGCTCAGGCCTGTAATCCTAGCACTCTGAGAGGCCAAGGCAGGTGGATCACCTGAATTCACAGGTTCGAGACCAGCCTGAGCCAGAGCGAGACCCTGTCACTAAAAATAGCCAGGCATTGTGATGAGCACCTGTAGTCCCACCTACTTGGGAGGCTGAGGCAAGACAATCACCTGAGCCCAGGAGTTTGAGGTTGCCAGAAGCTATGACACCATGGCACTCTACCCAAGGCAACAAAGTGAGACTCTTGTCTCAAAAAAAAAAAAAAAAA